AGCAAGAAGAATTGGGACTGGCAACTTGATTAAGTGAAAGGGTTGCTAAGTGAAACCTTTGTGCTTATGGTCTTATGTCAGCTTTACTTTACAGACTTGTGAAAGTTGTTAACGCAAGGATTGATCTCAAAGGTACTTTTTCATCACTATTGCAACTACGAGTAGTCACTAAACAAGGCAGTCCCTAAATAAGGACTACTGTATTTTCTTTCTCATGGGCAATTTGGGGGATTGCCAGAGGCTTTGGGATAGGTTCTCTTCTCAGCACTCCCTCAGGCAGGTAGCCGATGTCAGCAACCCCCAACTTTTTGTGGAGTAGGGACTGGTAACTGATTCCCTGGAAAGAGGTTTTTCTGTGGACTGGAGGGGGTGTGGTTTCACATTTTTATTTATTTTTATTTATTTTATTTGGTTTGTCAATTGCTTACAAGATAATAGGTATAAGAAAAAATATAGTTATGAATACATGGATACATATAAGAAGAATAAAAGAAACAATAGGACAGGGAAGGTAGGCATGTTGGTGTGCTTATGCACGCCCCCTACAGACCTCTTAGGAAAGGGGTGAGGTCAATAGTAGACAGTCTAAGGTTAAAGTTTTTGGGGTTTGGGGAAGAAACTACAGAGTCAGGTAGAGTATTCCAGACATTGACCACTGTGTTGCTGAAGTCGTATTTCCTGCAATCGAGTTTGGTGCAATTATCCTTGAGTTTGTATCTATTGTGTGCTCTTGTATTGTTATGGTTGAAGCTGAAGTATTATTCATTGCAATGTATAATTTTATATACTATACTTAGATTGGACCGAAGGCAGCATAGTTCTAGGTTTTCTAGGTTTAGAATTTCAAGTTTGGGGCATAAGGTATTCTGCAATGAGTAGAGGAGTGGAGAACTCTTCTTGTGAAATATTTCTGGACTTTCTCAACTGTGTTAATATCAGATATGTAATGTGAGTTCCAAACTGATGAGCTGTATTTGAGTATTGGTGTAGCAAATGTTTTGTATGCTCTAGTTAGTAGTGTAATATTACCAGAGAAAAAATTACGTAAGATTAGGTTAACAACTCTTAATGCCTTTTTGGCTATGTAGTTACAGTGGGCTCTAGCACTTAGATCATTAGATATGAGTACTCCAAGATCCTTGACAGAGTTTGGGCCATCAACAAGGTCTTCACTATTCAGCCTGTATTTTATTTCTGAATTTTTTTGCCAATATGTAAGATAGAGCATTTATCTATTGAGATTTGAAGTTGCCATTTGTTTGACCATTCTGATACATAGTCGAGGTCTTTTTGAAGGGTAGCAGTGTTGTCTGTGGTGTTGAATAGCTTTACATCATCAGCGAAGAGAACGCAGTTGCTCTTAATATGATCACAGAGGTCATTTATGTAGAGTATGCAGAGAGTTGGTCCTAGAACACTGCCTTGGGGGGGGGGAACACCACTGTCGACAGGTACAGAATTTGATAGGACGCTCCCAATTTTGACCATTTGTTGGCTGACAGGAATGCTTCTATCCAGTTATGCAGGTGTCGAGAGATACCATAAGATTTTAGTTTTAGGAGTAGTTTGTTAATCAAACTTTACAGAAATCTATGTAGATTGCGTCTATTGCTTTGCCCTGATCGAGTTGTGTAGTCCATATGTTTTTGCAGTGTAAAAGTTGCAGTTTACAGGATAGTTTTTTTCTGAAACCAAATTGTTTATTAGAGAGTAGGTTGTTTGTCTCTAAGTGGAGGATAATGGATTGGTTAATAATTGATTCCATGACTTTATAGGTGATGCAGCATAAAGAGATTGGTCTGTAATTTTCAAGTAGACTGGGGTCTCCCTTTTTGAAGATGGGGATAACCGTGGCTTGCGACCATAGTTTTGGCAAGGAGCTGGTCCTGAAAGATTTTTCAAAGATTATGCTTAGAGGTTCTGCTATGGCAGTGGATAGCTTTTTTAAGAAGTAGGCACATATTCCGTCCGGTCCAATAGATAGAGATGGTTTTAGATTGCGTAGTGCTTTTTCAACCTTGTCTTCTGTAAAATTGATATGTATTAGATCATTGTAGTTATCTGTGGTTCAACTTGGAAACTGGGCATGATCCATTGCTGTTTACAAATACTGAGCCAAAGAATGTGTTAAAGAGTGCTTTAATGGTGTTGTCATTGCAGTCTTTACCATTAGGTCCTTTCAGGGGTGGGATGGACCTTGAGTCTCTTAGTTTGTTGTTTACAAAATTGTAGAAAGCGCAGGTGGAATTGGTGTGTAGAAGGTTTTCCTCTTGTTTAATGTGATAATTGGTGCATTCAGTCTTTATCTGGTGGCATAAATTTTTATCAGCTTTCGAAGTTGGCAACATGACCAGATTTGTTTTTCTGCCAAAGTGATCTCTTTTTGGATTGAAGCTTCCTTATTGTTATGGGTAATCTGTTTTTTCTGGTTTTTGGAGTTATTCTTGGTACATATAGTTTGATGACTCTTTTGACTTCAAGTAAAAATATGTTGTAATGGTCTTCAACAGTATTGCACCCAGTGAATAGAAATTGCCAATCAAGGGATGAGAGATCGTTGTTTATAAGATCATGGTTGCCTTTTCTGAAGTTATAATTGGGGATCACATCCTTGTGTTGATTTTTGTGTGGACGTATGATGAGACAAAAGTCAATCATGCTGTGGCCACTGTTGGAAAACTATTGCAGAAGATGATATCGAGGCAGTTGTTAAGTCTAGTATTGTTGGTTACTAGTTGCTCCAGTTCCAGGTTTGTTACAGCATTGTAGAAGGTTGCATGTATGGGTTCATTTTTACATTCGTTTAGGGTCCAGTTAATGTGAGGTAGATTGAAGTCACCAAGAAAGATAAAAGTGTGAGGGCAGGATGCTGCCCCTGTTAGTAGTGAATTTAGCTTGTTTACATGTTCGATGTCATAATCAGGGGCTCTGTAACATAGTAAGAATCGAAAAGTGATATTTAAGGACAGTTCACAGATGATGGTCTCAGGAATAGCAAGCTCCTGGGTAACTTGGATGTTTTTTAGATGTAAGGACTTTTTATAGAAGATAGCAACACCACCTCCTCTACGGATTTCACGATCTGATTGGTAAACATGATAGTCAGTTACTGTGGTAATGGAGTCAGGGAGAGATGCATTGAGCCATGTTTCACAGACAAATATGATGTCGAATTTAGCCATATTTAGTAAGAGGAGAAATTCGGGTATTTTATTCACAAGGCTCCTTGCATTGAGTAGCTTGCATTTAAGGCCAGTTGTAGTTGGAATTGAGGTAGTTTGGGGCATGCATGCCTAATTTTGAATGATGGTGGATTGGATGAGGTAGGGTTGGATGTGGAGTTGTGGGTTGTGTCACTTACTTTTGATACAATCAGCGCGGTAATCATTGTCAATCCATTGTCTAGATATCTTTTGAGTTCTGTGCGGAGTTCATGGGAGCGGATTCTTTGCAGTATGGATAAGTCTGGTCTTGAGCGAAGTTTTTTGTGGTTGGGATTGGTTTTTGCAATGGCGTGAATGAATATGCATTTGCTGGACTCATTTTTGCATACAACTCTACAAAATCTTGGGGCCACAGAGCTGTCATTGTATTTGAACTCAGGGCCATCTCTGGTTATTTCAATGATATCTTCAGGAGAGATGTTTGTTGCATTTGAGTTGCTTATGATATTGCGAACTTTGGTGATGTCGTCTGATTCATTTGTGTCTTCAAGACCAAATAAGATGGCATTTAGACGTTTCTGATCACGTTCCATGATGTCTCTGATGAGTAAGGGGATATCATTTGTGGAATTATTTGATGGGATAGTAATTATTTGTGGTTGTGGTTTGGTGGCTATTTTTGGTTGTAGTTGTGATTGTGATTGCTGCTTGCATCCCGCAAATGGGGCTTCCTTTGTTTGCACAGCCTGGTTTCTGACATGCCACAAATCAGTGCCATTCTGAGGACCATGAACTCATAGCCTATGTTGAGGCAGAGAATAGGCAAGAAGATTGGCAGGAATAAGAAGGGAGCAGACAGTTGTATGTTTACCTTTAAATGCTGCTGCTTATACTTGCTTTCTGTTCCTCCTTCCCCTTCCCTTTCTCCCGCTTTGATCTGGGATCACTGAGAAAGAGGCTGGCACTGCATTCAGTAGCTGTCTGTTTGTTCCTCTAATAAAGGCCTTTATGGGGAACTCAGAAATTCCTGTTGGCAATGGACGAAGATTTAATATGTAATCCACCCTGGAACTCCTGTTCCCAATTCCATGATTATGTCCTTCCAAAACTACCAACCAGGAAATTGGATAGCATTATTTGTGACATGCAAATATGGGATTATTTTAAGTCAGAATTGCTATAATGAAGAATATTGCCAATTTCATCTTGATTTGTTTAAAGTCTCTCTTTCTTCTTCTTCAGTTATAGTTTGGGGTTTGATTGATGGATTCCAGCTGCAGTTCAGCTGTTCTTGTGTTTTGTATTCTGGACTTGTTTTGCCCAACTATTATGAGACTGCGTGCAGGTTGAAACTATTGAAGAGTTTCTCCAAACTCTTGATGCCAAACAGAAACAAAGGTCCTCAGTTAAAGGACTTACTGGGATTGATCCTGGTGTGTTTTGGAAGGAATTGCAGATTCCTTCCTTCTTTCTTTGCCTTTTATATTCATCCAGATAGATGGGAACCATAGTTTCAAAATACATCTCTCAACCAAAGGAGCACATCTCAAGTTAAGTTATTTATTTCCTTGTACAGTAGCTGCATCCATATATGCAGCACCAACTCCTTGTAAAGCTCACTAGAAAGAATACACAGTGGGCTACCAAAATCTAGATGACCATTTGATGACAGCAAAAATACAATTTTATATGTGTATGTATCCAGATTTCTGTAGACCAGCCTGTAATTATACTTTAATGTTTTTCTAAATAAATAAATAACCAACCAACCAACCAATATTCTGGAATGAGATTTCCACCCTTTCTTTATGGTCTCATTCATGCCTCTCTCTTTAGATCCCAAAACTGCGGAAACTGAAGATGACATCTGTGCAGAATGGGAAGTTAAAACAATCACCAGTGCATTGAAAACATATTTAAGGTGAGTGAGGAAGTTCTTGTATGGGTTTACAAGAACTATCTGCTTTTCAGTGTTAATTTTTCATGAAGGATGCCTGGATTCTGCTTAGAGTTTCATTTCCTAGCTGTTTGTTTGTATGCTCTTGTTTGAATCTAAAAGGATTCCATTGGTTACTCAATGTTAATATTCTGTAATGTAAAAACTCGTGGCTAATCATTCCTATCAACAAATATTTATAAGCATAATAAACTTCTCTGCAGTACATCTCAGAATTATTATCAAGATTTCAGCGTTAACTTTCTCCAACAGCATTCTGATTTTCAAGCAGCCTTTCTGTAAAGTACTTTAATGTTTCAGGTTTAGAAAGCAACTTTGCTCTACCTCCTGAAAAACTGTCTTACTTTATGAAGTTTTACAAGGGATAGAGATGTGGTTTGAGTTCAAGTTAGAGTTTATTTATGGTTGTATGTATTTTAAAGTACGTGAAGAATATAGGGATAGATAGTGTCATTCTATGGAGCACTAAAGCTAAAGTTAAGACCGGCAAGGTTCCTAGTAGCTCCAGTAGATTTCCATAGTTCAGTAGATTTCTTAGCAGAAGTAGCCTAAGGATGTTTATAATTCTGGCCATTCTCTGGAGCTTTTCCATCATGTACTAATCAAATCTGATCATTCTTAGTTTCCAAGTCCAGAGAAGGAGTCTAGGAAGCATTAGTCTAGGAAAATCAGGAAACTATGGGTGAAAAGGACATTATGCCAGAAGCATGCTACTTCCTTTGACATTTTCGGAGAACAATGTAATTTATGACTATTAATCATGCTGCAATAAAGATAATACAAAGATTTATTTGTCGGTTGGTCATAAACCTTGAGTGTAAGAAGAGTAACCAATAATCTCTTCAGCTCCTTTCTAGCTTTCTTTTCTATTCTTTCCCTATTTTGACAGGCTTTTTTTTTTTAGAACTGGAATAAATCATTTAGAGGTGTGAAGAGAAGATCCTAATCTTAACAGAGCCTTTTGTTGTTAGCAAATAGCAAACTAGAGGCATTACTTATCTTTGGTGAGAGGATAGTTAATAAAAGTTGAAGATTTTTCAACCTTATCATATTCCCAGTAAAGGGGTGTAGTGAACCTCTTGTAATTCCAAAGTAAATTTCCCAGTGTATTGAGTGGAGGAAAGCTCATCTTATTCCAAATCAATTTATGGGGAACCTGGATGGTTTACAAGAATAAAACTCCAAATACAAACCGAATATACCCCTACTCCCTTGGCAACAACATTCAAACAAATCACTTCACAGGAGCCATAATGGGCTCAGGCCCGTTGGCAAAATCATGTCAAGAATGAGTATTTTGAAAACATTTTGGACAATAGTTGAAACTGGTCAGTAATGTGAATCTATCTTGGTCAATCCTTCTCTTTTGCTGTTCCCCTTTTACTTTCCCTGTATTTAAAGAACAAGCCAGACATCTATTATTGCTCATCCTCCCAATATCAGTAATTAAGAGAAATAAGGAGCACTTCTACATCCTATAGTGGTGACGAAGTTATGAACATATGAATTTGTGGTAATAATACACTATGTAATCTACAACATGATCTGAGTTTAAATTAAATCTCATTAAATGTTTGATTCAGTTTAAAGCACCATTGCATCAGATTTTGGGTTAAACTCAGCCATTCCAAAATATTTCTGCTATCCTCATTTGTAGATTGACTTATGTTTATGGTTGTTTGCTATATAATGAACATTCATGTAAGCTTACACACACAAACAGCACACACAGAGGTGGGATGCTGCTAGTATAACAACCGGTTCGATGATTGTGTGCTTCACATGCGAACAGCAATGCAAAAATCCTTACCTGCTATGTTACTTCATTGGAGCAACACAGCTGAGGAGTGGCAATCCGCTCTTCTGCGCTGATCAGCTGGGACAGTAAAGGTCACTACAGTGCAGGGGGGTGCGCCCCCCCCCCCATAATCGGAGTGAACCGGTTCTCTCCCAGCTGACCTTCGGAGCTAAGAGTTCGCCTGAACCGGTCCAAACCAGCAGAATCCTACCCCTGTATATATATAATATATAGTTATGCAAGGAAGTTCCATTTCTTTCTCAAAGAACTGTAGTCTGCTGGATAATCTTGGGCAATCTTGAGGCATACAGTAAAGTTCTTTCTGGAGACCAGTGGTTTCCTCTTTTGTATTGTAACTGTTAGTTTTTTGTTTAAAAAAGATTTGGTTTGGTTATCAGTCAGCTCAAGGTTATCCATTATCTGGAAATAAATCTTCTTCCTTGCCACTCCATAGAAAACCATGAAGAAGAAATGGAGCAAGTCTCCACTCTATGATATTTCAAGAGATAAATTTAGCTCTGTATGGATAATAATTTAGCTGAAATTACTGTAACCTAACCTCAACTTAATATGTTTTTTTTTAAAAAAAGACATGTATATATTTTTTAAAATAAGGGAAGGCTCTGTTGTCACATCATTGATCAAAATTTAAGACTCTGTTTGTAACACAATTGTCACAGAACTTTGCAAATTTTTTTCAACAACAATGAATGTTGGCTCAATGTGTTCAGTAAAGACATGCCATTGTATACTGTTGCTTTGTAATCTCCGTTAAGAGGACTTAAATAAAACTATAATCATATTGTAGACCACAGTTCTCAAGGATTATGTGTGGGTATGAATTCACAAACTTTCTGTTACCATAATATATATGAAAGGAGTTTCCATCACATTTATTTCTCTATATTTAAAAGTCTTAATTATTTTAGGATAAAGTAGTTAATGTAGTTAAACAGCTGCTATCATAAGTATATAAGATTATTAGCCTGGTATCAAGCCACTCAGTATCATTGAAAATCAGATGGCATACATATTTAATAAACCAACAATAAATATGACTGCATTTTTGAATCCCATTTCTACAGTACTAATCATTAGTTTTCATTAGCCTTTCCTATGTTAAAAGAATGGATAGAGTGACAATAGCACTTAGATTTATAAACTGCTTCACAGTGCTTTACATCCCTCTCTAAGCAGTTTATAGAATCAGCATATTGCCTCCAACAATCTGGGTCCTCATTTTACTGATCTCCGAAGGATGGAAGGCTGAGTCAACCTTGAGCCGCTCAGTGTGATGACCCGGGACATGGCACAAAGGCAACACAGTCAGAGAATCAGTAGGAATCCCTTGATTAGCTCCAATGTCCTGCTTACCTTATGGTTGGAGAAAAAGTCTCCCAGGAGCAGCCTTTGGCTGCAGAGAATCAAGTCCAAAATGTGGTGAACAAAAACTGTAACTTTAAGTCCAATCAAGGCAAGATGAGATAATTAGTCCAAGAAAAGGAATTCCAGACGTGAAGGAATGGCAGTGATTCAACCCAGTTAGGAGGATGTCAGGAAAGCAGATAACCAAAGTCAACACAAGATAAACTCACATTTGTTCCCAGCAGACGCCACACTCAGCTTGCATCTCTTTTAAACTCATTCCCAGATGTGGCTAATGAAGGGAATTAGGGTCCTTTCCTCTCCTGTATGCCACGTTGCTCTCTTCTCCATTCCTCCCTGCATGCCCTAGGATGAAGAGGGGGTAGGCCTGGGTCTTCCTCTGAACTCCCTCTCCCTTGTTCTACCTCTCCCCTGCTCTGCCCAGCCAGACTTTGCCCTTCCCCAGTTTCCTCCACAGCCAACAGAGCCACACTCCCACTCCCTGTCAGCTGTTCAGAGTTAGACTCCGACAGGGCCATGACACTCAGAATTGAACCCCTGGAGTGAAAACTGAGTTAGCTTGAAATACTGCATTCTAACCACTGCACCACCATGGCTCTGTAATAGTACATGACAATAAAAGGCTTACAATTGCAAATAGTATTTTTTGCCGAGCATTTTATCGCTCTTATTTTTCTATGCTTTAATCTGTATTCCAGAATGCTCCCTGGGCCACTCATGATGTATCAATTTCAAAGAAGCTTCATCAAAGCAGCAAGTAAGCAATTTGTGACAATCTCTTCGAAGAAGCTATTTTAAAAAATATGTCTGAATGCATATTTGTATTGTACAGATATCGAGAAACTCTTTGGATAGCTTGTATAAGAATGTGTTAACTAGAATTTGGTCACATTAAATGTCATAGGGTAGCATTGAAACATTGCTTATCAGAAGCATAGAAAGGACTATTTTTAATAACTTGAAATTTTATGGTATTCTATAATTGCAGTTATTCATGGGGAAACCGACTCCCTTAATTGTAATGTGAAATCTGACAAGAAATCACTCAGGCATAATTCATATGATGTTATTTCATCACTTATGTTTAATACTAAATTTAAAATTGAACATTAGAATTTCAGGCTGTATTACTTCTTTTGAGGACACGGGAAATGACTTTCCCTTTTGCCTTCTTTTCAAGAAACAAACTGTTTTCTGCCACATACCCAATTTTCTTTTTTAAAAAAACCCATAAATGAAGCTTTGTATCGACATCAGTATGGCATAGTATAAATTAGGTCACATCTTAATATATCCATTGCACAATATACATATATTTATTGCTCCTATTGCCATGGCTACTGCCTCTGTGGTATGAAGTTATCCTATTTTGTTCTTTCAACCATGAGATAGTTACTGGCTTTTGGCTACTCTCTGGGTTAATCAGGACTTGAAATAGATCTCCTGAGCTTAAATAATGAGCTTCCTGCCATATTATCCTGCCCTCTGTGGTATGGATATCTGGAGGTTGCACCTGTGCCTTCTAAACTCCTGGAACCTCCTTCCATCAAAAGTCTACATAGTTACAGATTGTGAAGGTTCACCCTTGCAAAAGAATACTAATTAGTCCTCAGTGACAAAAGCTATGCAGCATCAAAACATTGGGACGCCAATAAATAATAACCCATTTCTTGATTAAGAAACCTAGACGGTAAAGCCTCAGAAATATCTGGGAACTCAGCCTTTTGGTTTGCAAAAATCTTCCATTTTTAATAACCTACCTGTTGGAAGATGGTGATTCTCTTCTGAAGCAAAGGCCACAAATATGCCAAAAGAAATAAAAAAAATTGCTCTATAGGATTGGATTCTAGTGAACTATCTTATGATGAGAATAACAGTTAGTCACCATAATAAACTTGTGAATATTTGAAGTGGTTTCCAGTATATTGTTCTGATCTATTCAAATACTCTGGAGGTTACGTCAGTACTATTATCTTCATATTCCTTGTGAGTGACTGAGAGGGAGCGGCTTGTCTAAGGGATTTAATAGTAGATACGAGATTTGAACTGAAAATTCATATTCAGCCTTTTTATTATTTTACAACACTACCTTAGTGGAAGGACAGAAACACATAAACATCATTTAACTTTTATCTCTTGTATTCTGCAAAAAAATAGCGACAAGATTGTGGCAATATGTACAAACAATGAAAAGGATTATAAAAAGAGAAGTTAATTCTTTTCCAGACTCCTGCTTGCTTGTGCTTGGGGTTGGAATAGCACTAGATTGATAATGCAGAG